TGCCACTGGCTCACAGAGCTGTCCCATCCACTGACCACGGCCTCTGTGACCTGTGTCCCCTTCACTGGTGCTGCTCAAGTGTGGAAATACCTTCTGAGGGTGTGAACGGCCCTTGTTCACCTCTTAGCTACATTGGTGGCAGCTGTTCTGGCTTTCTAAGAGCAGCAAGCAGAAGCCAAGCCCCTTCCCTAGGCCAGCAGGCGTAACCAGCTTGCTCAGGGTAGCTGCCATGCTGGTGTGAGGGGTTTGCTTTGAGCCACGCAGGGTGCCTGGGCAGGGTGTGGGGTCTGGAGCAGGACTGTTGGCTGGTCTGTCCTCAAGCACATCTGTGCCCTCCAGGATATGAGGGAATGGAGGAGCTCAGGCCGCTGCAGAGCAGGTCGGGCACAGTCCCTCAGGCGAGCCCTCTGCCGTGCTGGTTTGGGCCACAGGGCTCTGCACGGCTGGCAGAGACTGGCCCAGCCACGGTGCTCATCCTCATGCGTGTTCCTGGTTTCCCACCTTCCCTCCCTTTGGCACCTAGACACACCTGTGGGAGGGCTGCCTCTGCTCCTCCGGGTCTCACAGCGCGGGTGAAGAAGCTGGGTGTGTTTGTTTGTATGCTGTGCCCGTATTGTGAGGCACCGGTGTGGGTTGTGCAGAACAGGCAGCAGGGAGGCCTGGCTGGGCTCGTTCTCCTGAGGATCCGTCTGGCTCTGGCGGGTGTGGGCAGCCCGTGGCGGGGCCGGGTCCCTCTCGAGCGGCGTCTGCTCCGTGCTGGAGGAGGCTGCAGTTAATAACACCTTATCAGACGCCGTGCAGGAACCTGCAGTGCCTAATATGTCTGTTGCCATGGCAACGCTCCTGCCTGCGCTCAGCATCTCCCGGCTGCCTGCTCGGCTGCCTGCTCGTGCTCCCTCCTTCCCATATCAGCGAGCAGCCGGGCTGGCTGTCCCACGGGACCCCCGGCCTCCCGCTGGCCCCACGGCAGGGACAGGGCTGCCTGGGGAGCAGAGCGCTCGCCGTGCCCCACTGCCCCACAGGGACGGGGGCTCACGCTCTCCTCCCATCTCCTGCAGCTTGCCTTTCGTGGGGCTGCTGGGTGCAGGTAGCCAAGGTCTCTCTGTGGCATCGAGGCCTCTCTGGGCAGGGCCGGGTGCCATCGTGCCCACTGCAGCCCCTGCCTGCCTGCTGGACTCAGAGGGGCTGCAAGGAGGGTGAAGTGCAGTTCAGCCGTGCAGGTGATTACAGGACTGATGGGCTGGAGCTGGGAGAGAGGATGGCTTCCCAAGAGCCTCTGGGAGTGGGAGCTCTCCCTCCTCCCACAGCCAGCCTTATCCTTCTGCACATTTCTGTCTCGTCATCTCTGCTGTCAGCTTTCTCTTCCTCAGTTTTGGGCATCTTCCCAGTGTTCCAGTGTTCCAGTCATCTTTCCATCTTTTTCTTTTCTCCCTTGCTCCAGGAATCATTCCTGCCCATCCCTACCATCTCACTTCCCCCTCCTGCTATCTTTACATTTTTACCCTCTTTCCCATTGTCTTTTCTTATTGCTCTCTCCCTTCTGCTGTCAGTCAATTTTTCTCTCTCCCTCCTTTTCGCCCCCTCCCTCTCCCCCCTTTCCCTCTCACTCTGTGTCTCATTCTCCATCTCGGATGAAGGTAATGAAAATAATCGGGCTTCATTAATTCTGAGCCCTGTGAGATGATAGCCATTTGGAGCCATGTTTGCCAATTAGATGGTCTAAATTAGAAGTGACCTTGGTATACTGCCATCACTTTGCCTCTCAGAGTCTAATGAAGCTTTTCACTCCAGCACCCTCTCTCTCTCTCTTTGTAATGGAAATTACCTCCTTTGTCTGGTGGGGAACCTTCCCTCCCGTCTGTAATTCCCCTGGTTTCATAGACATGGGGACGGTGATGTATCTCCTCAGACCTCTTCTAGAGGTTTTCTTTTCCGGAGCCACATGATTTCAGCATTTTGGGGTATATTCAGGGGAACCATGGCCTCGTTTGGTGTCCGTGGACAGTCAGCACAGGCAGTGTGGTGTGAGAGGAGCTGGCTGCTCACACCAGCCACGAGGAGTTGTGTGGACATGGCGGCAGTGTGCAGGTGTTACACTGATGGCTGTTGGGCTCTGAGCCTCCAGCCCTGCACGCCAGCAGCTCTGCGGTTGGTTGTTAAAACCCAGTAGATGCAGTGGTGGTTGGAGCCGTGTGTGTCACTGCTGGAGGCTGTCACAGTGGGCAGTGGGCCCCTTGGCTGTTGTGCAGAGGGGTGGCAGGTTTGTAGGTGTCAGGGTGTGTGCATGCTGGTGGGGCAGGGAGGCAGGAGACCTGACCCATCAGCGTCAGGTGCTCTGTGCAGTCATTGCCAGGCCACCATGTCCATGGAAATGGCACCAAAGCGGGGTGCACCTGCCTCTCCACGCACCTCATCATCATAAGGACATTATGTCTGCTGAAGGGGTCCGAATTTCGCCCAAAACGTGGGGTTCTTGGAAGCAGAGAGGCTTGTGCAGCAACTTCGCATCTTTTAAGGACTTTCTCGGTGGTAACAAGAGGAGAACGTAGAGGGACCTTAGCTGTCAAAGCTGCAGGCGATGGTGCTCAGGTTGGGCACAGGGGTGGATCTGGGGTGACTGAGACAGAGGTGCCGTGCTGCAGTGACCTTTGCTGGTGACTTGTGGGCCAGGAGATGGTAGCTGCAGCCACAGTGGGGATGGGTTTGGTGTTGGACAGAAAAGAACAGGCATGAGCAGGAGAAGGGAAGGGAGGAGACAAACCGCATTTGTTGAACTCACAGCTGAGGGCTGTGTTTCAGTATTGGCTCACACTGACTGATGTGTTGCCGTTGTGAAGCAGTGTTGGAGCCATTGAAACTGAGGAGGGGGAGGGGGTGCCAGGCTGAGGAGGGATGCCAGGATGACACACCTGCAGGTAGCTGCAGGTGAGAGGGAGGAGGAGAGCGTTTGACAGCCGCACGCGCTGACACGGGCTGTGCTGCAGTGAACACGCTCACAGAACAGGTGCTGCCACGAGATACATCTGCAGTACAAGACGCTGTGTCGCTGAGCACTGCTCCTGTCACACCTGCCACCAGCCGTGGGCCTCTGCACCTTCCTGCCCCATCGTGGGTTTGTACAAAAAGCAGCCCTCAGCATGCCAGGTGAATTCTGCAGGTCCAAAGAAATGAGATGCCCTCAGATGCCTTTGCAGTGTGAAAGGACAAACCCCTCGAAAAAGGCAGTCTGGAATTCTGTGCCAGTGCAGAGTGATTTGGGATGTGCAGCTCATTTGTACTCGTATCTTTGCCACCTGCTCAGGGCTGGTCCGTGGGGATGAAAGGACGGAGGGTCCTGCCCTGGATCGTGGTGTAGGAGAGGGACAGGAGTCTGTCCCTGTCCCTGTCTGTCCTCTGGCTGGATGGAGCCAGAGGACTAGACTGAGTCCAGCTGCTGAGCAGTGCCTTCTTTCCAGTGGTTTGATCCCCAAGGACAGCCCACAGCTGTACTGCTGCAGTTCCCGCATCCATACCCAGAATTTCTAGTTCTCTGCACTTTTTTCCAGGCTTTTTTTCCATTTGCCTTTGGGAATTTTGTGCCTGTAGCAATTTAATGTACCACAGCCTTTTTTTTTTTCCCTTTCTCTTTTTTTTTTTCTTTTTTCCTTTTTTTTTTCCTCCCCATGGTGGAGGGAGGATGGAAAGAAGGGAAGGAATGATGGCTGTGGAGATGCAGGTAGATAAAGGTAATTACTTAAACACATATAGGGCAGGACTTACAGGTTTGGAGCCCCAGATTAAGATGCAGAGGAGCATGTGAGGTTGATGATTATATTTCGGGGAGAGTTAATTGACGGAAGGTGAAGGCAGACAAAGAACCGCTGCTTACTGCCTTCTTGAATCCCAATCAGGAATTATGATTAAAGACGCGGCGAGACAACAGAGGCCTGATGAATTGGTGTCTTTTTTTTTTCTTTTTTGCCGTCATTCACACTTGATTGACTTCAACCTTTCAAGTGCAAAAGTCTCTCTTTTCCATTATTATTCATAGCCATCTGAGTTTTTCTAATTAAAGTGTATGAAAACAATTACTGATCCGTCGTACTGAGCGTGGTGGTGGGGACGGCTGCTGTACTGTAACGCCTATGAAAAGCCACAGCTCTATAATGATGTGCAGCTGAGGTGTTAGATAATTTTATTCTTTTTCTACTCTGTTGGGGTTTTTTTTAATTTCTCATGATTTATTTTTCATAATTCCTAAAGATCCTAGGAAAGCAGGCTCTTCCTGCTGCTAGAGCTGAGAGGGACGGTTTCTTCTTGCCTCCCCTTCTCGGCGTCCACGCTCGTCCCCCTCCTCCAAGCCCAGCTACTGGAAATTACTCTGTGACCTTTAACGTCTACCAACCAACCACCCACAGCCATCAGATGCCTCTGTGTGGAGTAGAAGGTGGAATGAGTTTGGTGCATTCAGCTCCCCTCCTGGGATATGTCAGCGGCCTTCTCTGCTGCTCCCTGGGACCTGGCACTCACTGCCATGCAGTGGCTGGCCCAGGAAAGGGAGGGAGCTCTGTGTCCCTCACAGCTCAGGTCGTGGCTCTGCAGCCACTTCTGTGCCACCATTTCATCCGGAGGTTTTCCGTGAGTCCAGCTTCACCACAGGTGTGTTCCTCTGTCCTGCAGCTCACTCAGAGCCTTGCGGTCCTTGGCTGTGCAGGGTACATGGCAGGCAGCGGCCACACACATTCTCTCCTGAAATCCAGGGTTCAGATGTCCTCTCCATATCCGGCAGAAGGATGGAGAGGCTTGTTTTGCCTTACCCCTGAATGGGAGTGTTTAGTTGTGCCTCACCTTGCCAGCAGTGGGAGGCTGGGAGCAGGAGCACCTGGTGCAAGGGGAGCGCCCCTGGGTGTCAGCAAGGTGGGCAGCTGCACTGACCAGCACTGGAGGCCCTGTGCTGGAAAACACAGGGATGGTGACAGTGAGGCAGGTCTGTCTGTCCCTGTGCTGTGAGACAGCGTTCCAGCAGTGTGAGACATTGTCTGCAGACATTCAAAATTACATTCATTGTCCTGCATCTGATGCCAGCCACATGCAGGCTGCTGGTGAGATGGTTTGTGACCAGGTGTCCAAAGAAACAGTTTTTCAGAATAGGATGAGTGTGCACATTTGGCTTTTCCAAAGAGCCTCTCCAACTGAGCCATGTAGATTCTCTGGCTCTGTAGAAGCAGTGGTGTCCCAGCACTGCACTGGTTTTGATGGTACAGGATCTAGCACCAAATAATTGAAGAGGAGCAAAGGGAATGCATCAGTCAGAGCAAGGAAAGGGTTACCATGAGCTTTTTATTCCACAATTTGCTTTCTCTTTAGTCCTTTCTTATTCATCCTTTCCTTTGTCACCTCTCTCCTTATTTGTACTTTTCTTTCTCATGCCCCTCCTTTCCCTGCATCGATACACTTTGAAAACAGTGCTGCAATGCTCCCTGGTTCAAGATTACAGTGTACTTTACTAGGTATGATTTAATTAGGGGCCTTATTATGTTTTCAGCAGCTTAAGGTGGGCCTTTCAACTTATCTACCTAATTGGTTGCACAAGAAGTTTCACAGCCCATGACAAAACATTGTCAGTGATCAAAGTCTGAATTCCACATAAAGGAAAAATATTAATAATAAGATTATTCTTCAAGTGTGCACTGCTAATTATGTCCAGAATGTAACTGTAGAAACACTTTTGACTGATTTGAGCTTTGTCTAATAAATACGAAGTCTTCAGTGAGCTGGGAAAAATGACGCCTCTGACTTCACAGTACTGATGTCTAGTTTTGCGACTGGAGATGTTTAAAATATTTTCTAATGTTTTTCCTCTCCCTGTGTCCTTTCCCCCCGTCTCTAGGTGACAACCCCTGAGGTGATGATGCCCAGCAGCATGTTCCTGCCAGCAGCTGCTCCAGAGAAGGACGGGAACTCGGGCGCCGAGGAGCGGGAGGGGAAGCAGTCCGGTGAGTGCAGGGCAGTGAGATCCCACTGCTCCCCCAGCCCCATCACCTGCTCAGGGACCAGTTCCATTCCTGTTAATTCTCTCTTTGATAGGACCTAGACTCAAATACTATGTTCAGTTTGATGAGCCTTCTTTTTCAAAAATAGGCAGGACATCAAAAAGGAGCAGTGAAGACAGAGGTGGCTGAATGGCTTTTGCTTGAAAGGGAGAATTGAAGGTGATAAATGTACTAAGGGATGTGTGTGTGAATAATTTCCTGATATTCAAAGTGAGCAAGGAAGTAAATTGTGTAGGTTTATGCAATGGGCCATGATGAGGTTAATGGGCTGGTATTGAAACAAATGAATGAAGACAGAGGAGAAATGTTAGAAATACTTGTCATGTTGGAGATCAAAAATCACAGAGTATTCAGGACTGAAAGGGGGTGTTGATCTGCTGTGGTGTGCTGGTGTAATTTTGGGGTTTTCTCTAATTCTGTTTCCACAGAGATCTCTGAGGATGTGGGAAAGACCCTTTTGTCATCAGACAGTGCAGAGCACACCGGAGACCCCAAGCCCGCTCCAGCTGATGCGAGCGCTGCCCGGGAGGACTCTGGCTTCCTGTGCTGGAAGAAGGGCTGCAGCCAGGTGTTCAAGAGCTCAGCAGCCCTGCAGACACACTTCAACGACGTCCACGCCAAGCGGCCTCAGCTGCCAGTCTCTGACCGCCACGTCTACAAGTACCGCTGCAACCAGTGCAGCCTGGCCTTCAAAACCATCGAGAAGCTGCAGCTGCACTCCCAGTACCACGTCATCCGGGCAGCCACCATGTGCTGCCTCTGCCAGCGCAGCTTCCGCACCTTCCAGGCCCTGAAGAAGCACCTGGAAACCAGCCACCTGGAGCTGAGCGAGGCTGACATTCAGCAGCTGTACGGTGGTCTCTTGGTCAACGGGGACCTCCTCGCTATGGGTGACCCCTCACTCGCCGAGGACCACACGATAATAGTCGAGGAGGATAAGGAAGAAGAGAGCGACCTGGAAGATAAGCAGAGCCCAACAGGCAGCGATTCGGGGTCGGTGCAAGAGGACTCTGGCTCAGAACCAAAAAGGGCCTTACCCTTCAGGAAGGGCCCTAACTTCACTATGGAGAAATTTCTAGATCCATCTCGCCCATACAAGTGCACAGTCTGCAAGGAGTCCTTCACGCAGAAGAACATTCTCCTGGTACATTACAATTCCGTTTCTCATCTGCATAAACTGAAACGAGCCCTCCAAGAGTCTGCTACTGGGCAGCCCGAGCCTACCAGCAGCCCAGACAACAAACCTTTCAAGTGTAACACCTGCAACGTGGCCTACAGCCAGAGCTCGACGCTGGAGATCCATATGAGGTCTGTCCTGCACCAGACCAAGGCTCGCGCGGCCAAGCTGGAGGCGGCCAGCGGCAGCAGCAACGGAGCTGGCAACAGCAGCAGCAGCAGCAGCAGCCTCTCCCTGGGCTCGTCCACACCAAGCCCTGTGAGTGCCAGCAACAGCAATGCCTTTGCAGCCACCAGCACGAGCACTTCAGGCACCGCTCCCATCCCCAGCCTACTCAGCCAGGTCTCCAGTGACAGTGTGGGAATTCCTCCCTTGGGTAACGCCGTAAGCACTAACATCTCCTCCCCTGCCGAGCCCAAGGAGGTGAACCGCAAGAAGCTGGCAGACATGATTGCATCTAGGCAGCAGCAGCAACAGCAGCAGCAGCAGCAGCAGCAGCAGCAACAAGCTCAAACCTTGGCACAGGCACAGGTCCAGGCCCACCTGCAGCAGGAGCTGCAGCAGCAAGCTGCTCTCCTGCAGTCCCAGCTCTTCAACCCAGCACTTTTGCCGCACTTTCCAATGACCACCGAGACCCTTCTGCAGCTGCAGCAGCAGCAGCATCTTCTGTTTCCATTCTACATCCCCAGTGCTGAGTTCCAGCTCAATCCAGAAGTCAGCTTGCCTGTCACCAGTGGTGCACTGACATTGACTGGGACGGGTCCAAGCTTGCTGGAGGACCTGAAGGCACAAGTTCAGCTCCCTCAGCAGAGCCATCCACAGCTCTTGCAGCAGCAGCAAGGTCAACTGTCCTTGTCACAACCCCACTCCGTCCTACTACAGCAGAGCCAGCACCCAGAGAAGAAGAATAAATCTATAGTGAAGGAGAAAGATAAAGAAACCCCACGGGAAAGGGAAAGCGCAGAGAGGGGAGACAATAACGTAACACTGAAGGAGTCTCTTCCTGATAACTTAAAGCCCAAAGAGAAGAAGGACTTTGTGCCAGGCAGCAGTTCAGAGCCCTCCATACTGCCTCCGCGGATTGCTTCCGACGCCAGGGGCAACGCCACCAAAGCCTTGCTGGAAAACTTCGGCTTTGAGCTCGTCATTCAGTACAACGAGAACAAGCAAAAGGGGCAGAAGAAAAACGGGAAGACAGAGCAAGGTGAGAACTTGGAAAAGCTGGAGTGCGATACATGTGGCAAATTCTTCTCAAACATCCTCATCCTGAAGAGCCACCAAGAGCACGTTCACCAGCATTACTTTCCCTTTAAGCAGCTGGAGAGGTTTGCCAAGCAGTACAGAGAACACTACGACAAGCTGTACCCGCTGCGGCCGCAGACCCCGG